TTGGGCTACCAAGAATATGGGCCAAATTGTTAAGCACCAATTTTTACAAAGACAATCTAAAGTATAGTATTCCAATTAAACCTTATTTGGTAGGGGTTAAAATTATGATTTTAATCTAAGTTAAAGTCAATAATTAATTTTAACTACATATATCATGGAACCCACAACTCTTTAACCACACAATTCATCAACTTTTAAAATCTACTGATTTTAATCCCTACCAAACAAGGGGCTAAGATTCACTAAAAGTTAATGACCGTGGTTGAAATTTACCCGAAAAAGGATTCAGACTTATCCTATATTCCCAGATCCCATATGTTCCCTTGCCACCACTTGTTTTGTGACATAACTCTCTATCAGTTGAAGGGGACCAGAAATGTACTGTCAACAGAATAAAAATCTTCCTAAGTTCATATTCATTTTTAGATAGAGAAGAGAGAGTCTGAGACATCACGAGTCACTGTATAGTACCTAAATGGAATCAGAGGCACCAAAGACAAGAAAAAGTAGAAGAAGAAGAAGGTAAAACATCATGTGATCATGTTCCTATGTATGCAGTGTACTTATCCAATAATTTTTCCCAAGATTCCTTAGTTTTTCTATTATCAATTATACATTTCTACATTTCCCAAGATTCCTTAGTTTTTCTATTATCCATAATCAGGGAATAAACGAAAAATACTAAATTTTCTGTATGTTGGAGTTCAGGACTAGTTCTAAGGTAGCAGAAATGACAAGGGAAAATAGACAATTAGCTATGCATGAACTACATAGAATGGTTCCTTCGCCCATTCAGGTTGGGATCGGTAAAACATTAGAATGCATAGTCGATCAAGCCATGCTGGACAGGCCTAATCAAACCGAGGCAAATTTTAGCTCATTAGCTGCACCATGAGGTGGAAAATGGCCCAAGAGTTCATCAGCTGACATGCAAATGAAACGAAATGAGGTAAATCTAAGTTCGATGGCCGCGGCTTCTAGTGGAAAATTGAGCAAAAGCTCGATCCATATGGACACATCTTCGAGTTGCCATGTGCTCCCGACAGATTTAGCAAAGAAAAGGACGAGATCAGAATTTGAACAAAATTGTGGAAGGTATTTTGAGGAAGATCAAATGAGAGAAGCCAGTAATGCTAGTGCATCATTTTGTAAGGATACTGATACTACTATGATGATACGAGCTTCCTTCGAACCTCCTCAAAGCTTCAAGAGTAAGAGAAATGGGGAAGAAGATTCGGGTTTTCACACTTGCTCGGTTAGAAATCTTTTCAGTTTTGTAGGACGAACACGTACTAAACTTGGAGCAAGTTTTGGTTACTCAGTGCTACACCTACACAATTTACAAAATTTTAGCTTCATTTTCTTAGAGTCTAGTACTGTCCAATCCTACTACTTTTCTCTGCCGAATCTTCACTTTAGCCACGCGAACTCCACTCTCATTGGTAGGCATAGAAATAGACTAGGGGAATCTTTATAGGAACTAGTCTCTTAGCATTTACTCGCAGGACCTCGAATCCAGTGAGCTATCACCATCTATAACTCCACTTTCTAATCTTTTCACAGTTACAAGTCTTTGCGCTCTTATGCACTTGACTTTTCTCTGCCGAATCTTCACTTTAGCTACGCGAACTCCACTCTCATTGGTAGGCATAGAAATAGACTGGGAATCTCTATAGGAACTAGTCTCTT